TTTTCTTGTCTGTAACAAGCATGGACTGCTGCTTGTATCTTCAGTGCTTCTGTCTGAATCTGTTTAGTAACCAGCATTGGAGAATAACATAGGCATATCCATATTCAATCAAAAATACTTTTATATTATAATTTCAGTGTTTTAATGTAGTATATGTAATTTCTAATGTACTATAGAAAATTGCATTATTAAAGTGTGTAAATAAATTATTGAACAAAATAATTTCATATAACTAACAAAAACTTATGGAAAAAAAGCCAGCAACCTTTCCTCCCTGTCTGTATTTTGACTGAAATGCTGGTTGAGTAGGCTTATATTTTTACTTTATCATTTTGTTGCTTTTATTACTCAGGTCCGAGACGATATGGTATTGCGTAGCTTGTGCACTGCAAGATCTTAATAGGTCAGTTAAAGGGAGAGCTAGACTACAGTATCAGCTTCATATTTGGAGTGCTTGTCATTTGATAGTTGAAGCCTATGCAGTCTAGGTGTTTATTACTGAATTTCTTTTTAGTTTTGAGCAAGGAGATGTTTCACAGAGGGCTAGGAATTGCTTTATTTTTGAGTTCTTAATAATTGAGACTGATACTGCCGAAAGAAAACTGTTTCATCTTAGGCTAAAATCTGGAGGGTAGGGGAGGAGGAAACAGAAGAAGTCTTCAGTCCCCAGTGCAAAGCTGTGGAAGACAGTGGAGGAGAATCCTAGCATCTTTCTTCCTGTCCCCTACTGTAAACCTTTAGTAGTCTGTCTTCTTTTCCTAGTTATAGGCATTGTTTTCCTTCTGCTTTCTTTGATATTGCTGATATTTTCTCCCTATAGTAATTTTCCCCTGAACCTGTGGTATGATTATTAAAGTTGAAAAATCCCCTAAACTATAAGTTGTGATGTTGAAAGTTGAATCAGGCATGTCACACACAAAGTTCTTGGACCAGAACTGTGGATGAAACTTCATGCTTGTGAGACAAATAAACAATATTCTCTTATTAAGTTATGAAATAAGTTGTCAGGTCAGTGAAATACAGTTTTGAAAAATCAAAATCTGAAGTTGATTGATTTTTGTAGTATAGCTTGTAGTATGAAATGAACGAAATTTCCACAGGATCAGAGTAGATGTGCTGATACTGTAGATACAGGTTTATCACTTTACTGGGTGTCTAAATATAATTACTACAGCTTTTCTCTTTATTTGTATGTTTTTATCAAAAATCTTAGAGCAAACGTGTATATGCATGTGTGGACATACGAATGCATGCCATTTAACTTTACAGTGAAGTGCAAAACAGGCCAGGAAGGTTAGAAGCAGAAGGTGACTTCTGTCTGCTGCTAAGCTGTGAAACTGAGAAGGAAGGTGGTTAAGTGAGCAAAGGAGAGCAGCTGCTTCTGTGCAGGGCAGCACAGTCATCATCTATGGCGAGACCTGTGGTGAGGGAAAAGTAAATCCTATTTTATTAGTATCACTCACTGTCTTCCAGTAATTCTTCTATGGCATATTTTAAGATGATCTGTTAAATAGGTCAGGATTAATTTCTGCATGTGTTGCACGTATATTTTGCATTTTCTCAGCCATGTATTTAGCCTGTTTAACGGTATTAAATCTTTAAAATTCTCTGACAGCTGTCTGGGTACACAGCAGGCAGTTTGCGTTTATGAATACAGACAAAAGATGTACCAAAGTTCAGCAAGGAAAGGTGAAGTTGAGAGGAGTGCCTTTTGAGGACATTGGATAACAAAAATAATTAAGAAGACTAAAAAGAATTATTTTGCACAATGTGTATATATATGAACACACACATATATAAAATTATCATTATATATAAGCGAAGCTTGAAGATGTGGGTTTACAGAAGAGAAGAGTACCTGTAGGTAGAGGACTGCCTGTCCTAAGTCTACACTTCTGTGGAAGTCTATACTGTAACACTCCATTGGAGTTACTAGTGGTCTTACTGTGTTGGTGATAAACAGTGGGCATCTGTCTATTTAGTATGGGACAAAAAAATTTTCACCTAACACAGATTTCAGTCTGGCATGGAAAGTAGGGGGGTTATTCTGTCATTTAGAATCTGATAGATGATTCTGTTCTTCTCCTGGTATGGATTCGGTCTTTGTTTCTTTTTTCAAATGAAAGGTATAGAATATTACATCAGAGTCCTTGTCTCTGGGGTAAAAAAAAAAAAAAATTATTTAAAATACTTTAGGTTGTCTTTTTTTTATTATTCTTAAGCCTATTTCTTCTCACTTCTTACTCTACTTTTCCTGTTTTAGAAGTCTGTCCTTTTATGATCAAAATTGTTATGGTTTTTTTTAAAGTCACTAGTAATTACACTGACAGAGCAAAATTTTAAAGTTTTTATTTTGTCTTCTGTAGCTGGAGAGGCTCTTTGTGCACATGGGAGCTAGCCATGTCCCTTCACTGTAGCACAGAGCCAGCTGTTCAGCTCTTGTCCTGACTCTATAGCTGAAGAAGGATACACATATTGGATAAAATACACCCATTGTTCCAGTCAGATTGAAGTGGGATTTGAGTGTTGCTTGGCCAATAAAGAGAAAGGATTTTATTCTTTCTGTGAGGATAGTGATTTTCTACAAAGGAGGACATAGTGTCTTGCCTTTTCTCCACTGTCATTGCCCCCACCTCATTCCCTGGTCTGCTAAGTCAAGGTCCATAAGTGTAAAGAGAGCGTTACCTTTCTTGGAGGCGTATAAATGGGTGGAGCAAGAGGGGAGCTCCTCACCAGGGACACTGACTGATACTGTGACAGCTCCAGGAGAGAACATCCCCTTTGGTAAACAAGGACCCCAAACGATGTGATTTGAAACTTGCAAATCCTTTGGGTGGCAAATGTCCCTGACTGGTGTCAAAGGATGGGGCCAAGATGTTCAGGAGACATGCTCCACACAACACTGCTCCTCTGCCTGTTTGTAAACTAATACTGTCATTTACTAATAATGAAGTGCTACTAGTTCAAGCAGTAGATGACCTTCTCCAAAAGGACACAAGTAACAGAAGAAAACGTACCATATGTCTTAGGTATTCTGATATGGGGTAGCAAGTTGGAAGAGAGCTAAAGAAGAAGGAACAACTTCATGTGCCTTGTGCAAACTTAAAAATGCAGAGGAGGGATCAACGTAAGGTCTGTGTGGAGGTGTGCACTGCAACAATATAGCTTAGTTGCTCTAAGTTGATAAATATGTGTTCTCCGTACACACACACCCCCACAGAGTTTGTGGTATGTTCATATCCATGCTCTGCCCTTGCCCTCATGTGAGGAAGGCCACTTGTGTAATTGCCCGAGTTGTACAGCTGGCTGGCTACGTTCTCTGTGTGTAACTCTCCTTTTTCATGTCCCAGTTAGCAAGACCAGTTTGTTCCTCTGGGCATTGGCCCTCCTGTGACTGTAGAGAGGATATCATTCTGTACAATATGAGAGAAAATCTCACCCAAGGATTCAAGGATTCAAGAAGTGGTCAGTTTGCTGTAAAGTCTCTTGAATACCCAAGAAGAGTTGCTTTGTATGCTGTGATGTTCTCACTGTTAAAAACAAAACACAAAACAAAAAAATACAGCCTCTGAGCTCAGCCTTCTGCTTTTACAGACTCAGCGATGATGCCATATGAGTCAGGAAGTTCATTTCTGTAAAAGAGCAGCACATTTGTGTTTCTGGTCTGTTCATTAGTGTGGAGAACATGACTACAGGTAGCAACATAATCTTTTTAATCTGCCAGCTTGTTACCTGAACCGTGAACCACAAGCTTTATTCCACAAGATTGACTCTGAGATTTACATCCGTAAAACTTCTTACAGTGCTGTTCCAAAGATACCACTATTAACACTGAATCATAGATGATGCCTGGTGCTTTATGAAAAGACATGGGAAGAAGTTCACTGCCTATAGACACCCAAAGTCTAAGCACTTAAGCATCCAGAGAAGGACTAGGGAAATACAGAATTAAATAAGCTTAAGCAGAAGTGAGCTAAAAGCAGAACTTTGAAAGGAAAGTTTCCATGAACCCATGAAGAGAAGCAGCATATTGCAGTGTGCTTCAGCCCTGTACTAGAGTATGCCGTTTCCTTCTAAACAGCGGAGTTTAGAAGCTAATACTACTTTCAGCAAGTTTTGGACTTCATTTTTTAGAGCTGTTTCAGAAATAGTGGCTTTCGTAGTTGGAGGAACAGACAACTTGTTCTTGAAGGCAGTGTGGGGTTGAAATCCAGATCTCTGTGCTTCGACTACACGGAACAGAGAACTAGGACAAGATAACTGGGAGCTTTCACTCAAAAATGCATGCCTCTTCAAGTTGGTTATCTGTAGCTGTTTCCCCTCCCTCAGCTGTTTTCTTGGCCTCTCCCTCTGATGGTCCTGCCTCTCCAGCAAGGATGCCATATCAACTGACAAGCCAGCCACTAAACTGCTGCAAATTACAGCTTTGCTTGCTAAAGTCTGCAACATTTTGCCTGAGTATGCTGGGCTGTTAATTTTATGTTTGTTTCTAAATTAAAAGTGAGAACCTTGCAAAATGAATAAATAAAGATCATAACTAAATGAGCAGCTGTGTAGGAATGAGACCATCCTCAGCTGTTAGAGAAAAGCAAGAAAATAAAATGTTAGAAGCAATTTTTTTTTTTTTTAAATCCATCAGTTAAAGTAGTTAAAAGCTATTTTTTAAAAGAAGTTGTACTGGTATCTGTGTCCTTCCCAAGCCAGCATTTACCCCAGCTCCCCTGAATTTTATCATGTAGTAGGCTGTTCATGGCAAAGGATTAAATGCGACTTGCTTGTCACTGAATGTGACACATCCCTTCCCTCCCTCTCCACCCTGCAGCAGAAATGATGGAGATTTAATGAGACCAAGTCAAAACCAGCTTCCAAAAAACAAATATGATTGAAAATTGTTTTCATAATCATGCAATGGTTTAAATTATATTTCTTAATTAATCTTTTTAATATAATGTGTAACACTGGAAAACATTTTAAACCTGATTTTGTTGGTCTTTTTGAAGGGCATTAGGACTTTTTAGTCTGATAGACAGTCTGTGGCCTCCACTAGTGCCTGTAAAAGTTCCTGGACAAAGTCAAGACTCTGAAATGGTAAGTCTTGTTGTTATGGAAATTAATTTTTTCACTCACAACTACTATTTTTGTTGGTAGTGTAATCATGTTTACTTTGGGAATCAGATTCTCTCCCTGTCTTTAGCTACTGACTTTTGGTGTACTGGTTCTGGCAAACTCCTAGATAACCTGAAGCCCTCTGGATCAGCAGCATCTTTCCAAAATGATGCAATTAGCCCCTTAATAATCCTTTAGAGCTAGAGTGGTAGGATGTCCACACAAATTATTCCTCTCCTCTCCTTGCAGGAGGAAAGAGATATTAGATAGCATGGGGTCAGCTGAGAAATCTATATACAAGGATATTAACTCATTCTTCTGAAGCATTTTCAGCCTTAGATTCAAAAGCACTTTTCTGAAGATTAACTTCAGTGAAGAGAAACTGACTACTGGAATCAGGTCTCTTTTAATAGTTAGGACGACTTTGGCTGATACTTGTCTCATGTGAAGACAGTCGAAGGATGAACACAAAAATAATCTACTAAAAAGTAACAAATATTTCTGTGATTTTAGGGGGTGGGGAGGTATTAAAATGGATTTGAAGTAGGTTAATATATATTTTCAGATCTAAAATGGCATCTTTAATTTTCCTTTCATTAGCTTTTGTATTTGAAAAGGAGTGCTGTCATATCAAGTGTAATTTTGGTAATACGAGATCATTTAAGAAGCTTCTGAGTAGCCAAGTTCTTGTGCTGTCCTGCTGTTCTTGTATAGGCTGTTCTTTGGGGAAGAATTTTGTGGTATTAAAAATTTGTGTTAGAGCCTAGGGGAGTCAATCAGAATGCAAGTTCTAGAAAAGAAGAAAAAGCTGGAAATAAACAAGTTTCAAAACCACGGGATGTTAAAGGTGGAGATTACTAGTTATTTCTGAAGCCTGAGAATCTTTTCTCTTCGATGTGGTTTGTTCTTTGCATTGTACAAGGGTATATGCTGAAGAACAAAAAGTTCAGACCTTGATTATATATAAAACCAGGACTGAAACTGAGTGAAATGGTTCTCTCCTTGACTCTCCTTTTCATCTAGACTTTTTGGAAGTCTCAGAGGAATGGTTTGTTTTGTGCGTTAAAGTACTGTGGACAACACAAGGAGAATATCCATGGATGGCACAAAGCTCTTTAAATGCTGTTTAGCGTTGTTATGATTCTCATTTGTTCTTCATTTTCTCTATTTTATTAGCCATCTGAAAATGGAGGAAATTTCCATAATCGTGCAATTTACACTTCTGTCACGGGTTTGAAATACTAATTCATTCTACAAAGGACCACGACTTGCATTCTACTGCTGCAGGTTTTTGGCTGAGTGGAGTTTTTTTCAGCTGAGATACATTTTTCTTAATACAAACACTATAGTTTTATGCACAGTTTCATGGAAACACTTTTACACATAGGTACATAAATAATATTGCCAGCACGCTGATAATGTTGTTGGGAAAAGATCTGTCAACTGATTTATTTTGAGACATATGTACATACAAATACCTTCTTTAGTACTGTCAGAGGCAAGCAGAATTTGGGTATCAACTTCTTTTGCTTTTTTTTCCTTATGCAGATTTTATTTGAACGGGTGGGCAGCTGTCTTTAATAGATTCATATTTCTTTTATTAAATGAAATGTTTTATTAATAACAAACATCGCTAGAAGAATATTGTACTATATCCGCAATAAAAATTGTTTTCTAGCATTGTCTTTTTTTCCCTGAGAAGCCTCTCTAGCTTGGGACCTCTTTAAGTGGTGACTGATAAAGTTGTTACGTCACGGTACTTTTTAAGGGGGAAAGAAAAATCTGGCATAACACAAAGAGAGCAGTTCTTGTAGCTGTTGCATTCCTGTTCTTCATTATCTCCTTCTGCTGTCCTGGATTTAATTTGGCAGCTTTAAAAGTTCGTCAGCTGTTTACTATCACAAAAATCCACCCACATGCAGAAGCAAAAAAAAAAGCATAATCGGGCACTGCTACCACATAATAAAAAAACGCAAAAACAACAACAAGCACCTTGAACTAGTCACAGTGTTTGCCAAGTATGCCAGATCATGAGATGGTTTTGTGATGAGCATCAATGTCAGATTATGGAAAGAATGATACACACAAGCTGTTTTCACTTATAACTTGTGAATGTCAGTTTATTAACTCAACTTCTGCTTCAGAGAGTCATTGTTATTAACCGTATCCCTCTTTAAAATGTAAATTGTGTGGTTCATTTTGGCTATTATTATAAAACCCGACTGGCCAAATTAAAGTGCCTTTTTTAAGGTCAGATTTCTTTTCCTTACTTTTTAATAGATGACAACCGATCTTCCTCCTCCCAGCTTCTGTTATATTCTTACTGTTCAATCTGGTGAAATACATGTGGAAGTGGATGAGGAAGAACAGATTTCTAATTTGTACCAGCCACCAGCTGTTCATAGTCTAAAGGAAATTCTTCAGGTAATCTGCTTTACAAGTCAGATAACAAATACTTTGTACCACTGCCTTTCTGGTATGATGGTTGTCTCATTCCCTGTTTTTGTACTGTTTTCAGGTCGATGGTTGTAATGAGCGTTGTAGCTTTTGGGCGCAAGTGCTATATCTGAGGCTGCAGGTAATCTTTTCACTTAGCAATGAATTCAACATAAAATCAACATAATGTTTATGTAAAGAAGGCAGCATTTATCTTGTTTAGAGGAAACCCCAAAACCTTCCTGGATGATCTTCAAGAGCTGTATGAGCAGAATTATCACTGGGTCTAAAATGCTTGTAATGCTAAATGCTTTACCTGGTTTCATAGGTAAAATGAACTGCGTCTCCAGTTTCAAGACCATCCAGTCTAGAAAGTGAATTATTTCTGAACAAATTGCTATCTAAGCAGAGGTAGTATTTCATCCTGGTAAGGGAGCTTGCAGCAAGTTCGTTGAGACTGAGTTTATAGCTAAATGCTGTCCTTGGATACATAGCGAAAAGTTCCCAGTCAGTTGAGTGTCTGGGGACAGAATTTAACAGATGACTGTTATATAAAAATACAGTTTTGCTCTTTGCATGCAAGTGTGGACTGTTTTTGTTGACTTCAATAGAAGCCCCTCAGGCAAATTTGGCTTTTATGGTCCAGTTAGTAGAAAGGAGGAACTCTTAGGTAAATACATCTGCCATCCATACTGTGTCGGAAAGCTTATAGTTATATTTTATTTATTTGTTTCTGAATGACGCTACAATTTTCTTTCAAAATGTTGCTAACTCCCTCAGTAGTTAAAGGAATTTTTTGTCACTGATTTATTTATTTTTTCCTGGCGACTGGATCCTCAGTACAGCCAGCACTGAATTCTGGTGGAGAGTAATTTGCAATTGTCCATCAGCTCCACAAGAAACAAAGTGTGAATCAAAGCGTATGAACCAAAGACAAAGGAATTCCAGAACGGCCAGCAAAATAGCTGGAGATGCTTCCCACCAGTGTGAGACATAAATTTAATTTAGGTCTTGCCCTTTTGCTTCAAAAGCCAATGAGTTATGATTTGATTTTTGGGCAGGGAGTACTTTTAAATCCCGAGATGAGGGGTGTCTCTTGTGTTTTCTCCATGCTAAGTGAGAATTTAACAGGGCATTTGCAAATGTGAAATTAGGGCTAGCTTGATGGGGTCTTTAGGGTGCTAACAGAAAGATGGACACATACATGCGTAAACATCTATTTCCAAGAAACCTGTTCTGTTAAAAAATAAAATTACAGTCTAGTGGTATCATAGCCAAACATTTTTGTAGTCAGGAATGTCTACATCTGAGATGCTGTGGGTCATCAGTATTCTTGTGTAGAAGCACTTCATCACTAAATTAGAGAAAAGATAAAGCATGGAGGAACAGGTGTGATTTTGAAGAATGGAAGCTTGTCTAGCAGAAAAAAAACGTCTACGATTTCTTCTTGCTACTAGAAAGTTTATTAGCTGTCTTTTTAATGGCTATGCACTTGCTGAACTGTAAGCACTAGATTTTTGTAAATGAACAACATGAATGCTCATAAATTTTTTGAAAGTAATGTTGGAAAAGCAATAGAAGATACCCTTCTTCTGCATAACTTCTGGATAACTGCCCTGGGAATGTAAAGGTATTTACCTGCTGTTAGTGTTTTGCTTGCCTAATCCTCCCAGGAGGAGGTCACGAACAGCAGCTTGTTTACTGCAGTTGCCTTTGCCAAGAGGACATATCCTTCACGTGCAAAATCATCTAGTCGTAATAAGTGAGGAAGGGACTATAGTTTGGTTTCTTTTGCAGTTTGATCATTATTAGATAATCTGCTATGTGGTATAATTCAAATGTACTTTAAAATTTATTCTATGTAGCTACAGTATTCTGAGATACTTCATTTGTATGAAGGAGGAATGGAAATATGCTTTCATTATTACTACTCAGAATCTGTACTGCGGTACAGAAGGAATATGAGGAAATATATTCCATCTGTGGTTAAGGAGCTGTCCTTCCTTATAACTCAATCCTGCTGCTATTTGTCTGTTGTGTCCTCTCTGTTCAGAACAAACTGTCACACATAGCTAGATGATGATTTTATACTAACTTGTGATTTTTGCTGTTATTATTATTTACTTTTTGGATGATTCTTCTGAAAGCCAACTTTTAATGTGTTAGTAATTCTTACGGGACAGCTGTAAAAATTCTTTCTTTGAAGCTGTCCTAATGCTATCTACGCCGAGGAGGTACTCAAATGTATGCAGTTACTAGGCAGAGAAACATCGTCAACTCAATAGGCAGCATAGATTGTATTAAGGCATAACCATAACATCTGAGTTATGAATTTTCCCCATCGTTATTTACAATTACTGGATTTGTTCTAAGAGCTGCTAGTATGAACAAAAAGCTGATTTTAGTGTGGTTAATGGTTTCAAGGTTTGAATTCAACTGAAGACAAAAAGTTGGGATTCTCGTTGCATTAATTTATGCTAGAGACATGCACATTTGAGAATAAAATACTTACGTGATATGTCTCTCCAGTCATTGCACTATTTTAATTTTATGTAAATGTTTTAAGTGTGAATTTTTAATCGGCAGACTAATGAAAAATAGTAACAAAAAAATTCTAAATTAAGAAAGTAATTTAATTTCAGTTAAATATTCTGAAACATTAGAATCTTAAAAACTGCAAGTTGCTTGGGCTGCTAAATGTGAAATATGCTTTGTTCCTAAACTCATTTTTTCTAAAGCATGGGAAAATTTGCATACACAAACAGATATTATAAAAGTTGTGTTTAAAAACAAAAGAAGAAAAGCATGAATCGTCGAATTATAACACACCTGATTTTGCTAAGAGACCCTGGAATAAGCACTGATATGTATGTAATGTCTGTCTAGTCTGTCTTGTTCATCATCCCAGTGTGAAAAATTTTTAAAACTCTACTGATTTTGTGATGATTATTTTCAGATACGAAGCCTGAGATTAAATGTAGGTATTTTGTTTGTGACATCAGTAGTTGTGAAATACCTTAATTTAGGCACGCCAGAATATCTTTTTCTACCTTTCTTAGGCAGAAAACTTACATTGTCATTGCGGATTCCTACATGTCTTACTTATGAGTTGTCTGCTTTCCTATTTCTGTGCATCATTCAAAGAAGTAGAGATGTTTGTTCAACAGAAAGAAAAACCTCTGGCTTTGTAGCTTACAGTAACTATTAGCCAAGGACTGGGGCTCTTGGGAACCAGATAACAGTACATGGAAAAATTGCCCACAAATGAATAATATTAGTAGTAGTGTTAGCCTTTCTTTTTTTTAAGGGAAAAATTATATGAGTCTTTGTTCATAAAAACAGCCAATTAACTTTTTGTATATGTAAGTATATATATGATACAGTTTTTTAATATAAAATGTATTTTCAAATCCCTAGTACAGTCCAAAGGCACGATAGTTGATAGAGGTAAAGCCAAGATTCCAGCGGGTCAATCTCAGAAAGTTATTTTCAAGTAGAGAAGTTTGTATTTGCAGTAAGGAATAACGAAAAAATCCAATGAAGCTTTGATATATTGTCCTGTATGAGTCCTAAAAGTAATAATTTCTGACAGATTTATTAGTTCTTTAAATATGAGGATGTTATTTTGGTCCTTCCTTCTACAGAAAATTAACAACTGCATTCCAAATTTTTTGTTTTGTTTTGTTTTTTAATAACAGACAAAACACAGTGTTGCTATAAATCAAAAAGAGATTTGGCTGTTTGTGACTGACTCCACACTGCAAAACGCCGTTCACATGATTCCAAAAGTTGTTGCTGTGTCAGTCGCTGCACCGTGTGTTCTCAGTACAGAAGTCACAGAAGCCCTCTGTGTTGCCTCGCGACTCGTCTTCTTCAAGGATGCGCTGTGGGGAAATGGTAAGCTTGACACACGGTTTTGAAGCAGTTGGAATCAAACTGAAATAGCATCCTAATCTTTGACACTGCAGTACGTGACCTACAGAGAATTTCATTCTCAGATCAAGATGAGACATTGCAAGTTTGGGATGAGAAAGTTGAAAGGAGTTATAATTAGAGCTTTCCTGTAAGGTTTCTTTTTTACATTTTTGGCTTGATCTTGAAAGTAAATGAGAAATTCAGTGATCTTGCTGTATGTCCACAAGTATTTCTGTCAGTCTTCCCTGACGGCTGTTGAATCTAATGACCAGTGTCAGTCAAATTTGCTAGCTGACAGAAGACTCAAAAAATATTAAGAAACTTGGTTTCATTTGTTTTTGATATTCTGGCAAAAAGTTGTTTTATTGACCTTAACACCTCTGAAAGGAGCAAGAGGGTGAATTTAGAGACGTGTGTCCCTACATACAGAAATTTTACAAACTCTCCTATACCATTTTAGCTGCGAGCCTTTGCCACCGTACAGATCATGTAATGATGGTAGTTCACTTTACATTCACTTTTAGTCGCTCTTTGCTGAGGTTCAGGTATGATTCTGTACGGTGTGTGCATGTGTAGTTCACATCTCAACGCCTTCAGTCACCTCCAAAATGCCAGTGGACTGGAGGCACCAACATGAGTAAATGGCTGTGTGTCCCAAAGCAAAAATCTCTGCTTTGGAGAATAAAGCATTGCATGCATCTACTCTTTGTAATCTTTGAAACAAAGTAAGAGCACCTGAAGGGGTGCCGAAGCTTATTACCAGGGAAGAGACAGTAGCGTTATGTTTGCAGGGAGTGTAGAGCGATGCAGTCAGAGTGGAATCGGACTCTCTTCTGACATGTTCAGATTTTTAGAACATCTTGTTTCCCTGGGAGTCGCAAAGCGTGACGAGAGCATGATGCGTGTATCACTGAAAGTAAAATATTTTGTCATTGAGAGAACCTGATGGAGTCTGTCCATCTGTTTAGTAGCTGGCAGAGATTGTTGTCTTTATTGGCCATGACAATTAACACGGTCACCTTTTTCCTTGTTACTGTACTGAGTTGAAATGTCTTTGTTGGCAGGTAGGATTATTTGTGTTGAACGTACTGTTCTCTTATTACAAAAGCCTCTTTTGTCCTCGGCTGCTGGTGCTGACCTCAGTGAGCTGACTGGCCCTGTCAGACTCGATGAGCTGGATTCTACAACACAGGCCAACTCCATTTGTGCTGTAAGAGGTTTGTACGGCCTTTCCTGAAATGAATGCTGTTAATTATTTGTGCTCACTTTAATCTTTTAGGTCCTCGTATTGATTTCTTGCACAAACAGTGTGGAGGGATAAAAAAGCACGGTACTGCTGTGGGTCATCAGGGTATTTAAGTTTTTATACTTCTCTGTGGGCTCCGCTTGCCTTTTGCTGGCCAAGCTCTGCTCCCACTCACTCATACCCCAGAATAAATGTTTGATGCACAGTCTGTCTTAGTACATTCCTTCCTTCTCCGTCTTCTTTCAGGAGCCTTCTGTTCACACCAGCCTTGTTGATGTTGGCAACAGTAAGGTGTACCAATATTTTTCAGGCAGATGGCTGAGATACGTTAGCCAGATCCTGAGTGGTGGGAGTTGGTGTCTCATTTCCCTGGAGCATTGCCGCAATGGGCCAATTTAATGTTTCACTGTAGTCATCTACCATAACTTGGCCAATATTTGCTCAGCAGCCACTTTGGGTCATTGCTTTGTCTAATATTTCAGTCCTACCACTAACCATGCAGAATCATTTCTTACAATGTATTTTCTAAAATTTCCTAATCATGCAGAAACATTTCCTACTGTGTATTTTCTAATGCTTTGTCAAGTCAGCTTCTTAAACCTTGTAGAGTGCCTATAGGGAAAGGTCCTTAAAAGCCCAACAGATTTTGGCTTTTAAAGACAATTTCCTTTCTTAATTTGACTCTTAATAACTCCAGTAGCCCTTGTAGAAAATTGTCGATACTGTTTTACGTTTACACCTTCAAGTATTCACTGGAGCATTTTAAATGAGCTATATATTTGCTAAATAGTAGCAAATAATGGTTGCGAATGAATCCTTCCAGCTATAACGTGATGCACTGAAAAGACAGTTTGAAACCACGCAAACCTGTTACTAAAAATACCTTCTTTTATGGTACAGCCACAAGTTAGCAATACCTCCATGATTAGCAAATAAGCGCCTTGCAGTGACAAATCTTGAACTCTAACAATGCATAACGAAAAACAAGCACAACTAGAGGCACTTCACTCAAACCCTTGGGTGTTACGTACATCTCACATCGGTATTGTAAGTTACTTGGAAGGTATTTCTGTCACTGGGTGTGAAATACTTTCTGGCTTTTTTTTTTTTTAACCTCTCCAATAGTTACACTAAGAATTATCACTTCTCTACTCTTAATTTTATAGCAAAGTATGAGAAATGCCTGTCTTCTTTTGTCCCATTGACAGTGTGCATAGTAGGATAAAGCAAACATTTCTCTATCCTTTCTTTTTCCAGTAGAACAAAGAAAATACACCTTTGTGATCTATTGTGTAAACAAGCACTTACTTTACACGCATGGGAGGTGTCACGCTTTCCCTGTTCTGTATTGCAGATGGAAGAATGACAAAAGGAGAAATTAATCCTACAACTTTGTCTTGCTTCGTCTGAAATTTGTCCAGGGTAGCTGTTATCAGCACGTTCCCACACATTTGTACCAATGTAAAATATAAAGTGTCTTCTTTATGCCCATGCTAATGCTGTATATACCTGATAACTCTCACTTGTATGTGTTACTAAAATTATTTATTTTAGAATGTAAGATATATATCCAGTGTTTGGGATATATATTGTAGTTGTTGTATATATTTGTAGTTATTGCCTACATCTTTCTACTAAGGAAGTGAAACTAATATCACTAACCCTACTTTGCTGGTGGGAGCATATGTATTTGATGGAGGAAGGAACCCATGAAGGAAAATTTATCATCTCTAAAATTCACTCACTGTGTCTGTCTCTTAAGTCAGAGAGCTGTTAGTCTGGCTTTCAGTGAGAAACAGTATTACCTCATTCATTCTTTTTCTTCGTGCCCTCCTTTCACTTCCTGTACTTCTGGTCACCTACATGTGCGGTACGTGGGCCTCCTCTCACCCAACACTCCAAAAGCTGCAAAGGCTTTGCTCTACCCCTTCTTTAAGTGGTGCTCCTTCCTGCTCTTTGCAGTCATGGCTGCTCCTCGTGGCTCTCAGGGATTCAGCAGGCTCAACCTTCCCTGGAAAAACTTCTTTTTAACTGGTGAAACATGCAGGTGGTCATTCAAGTCCCCATCCACAGATACAGCAGTTGGTCACAGGGCCAGAGCTTCCAGGAGAGCTGGGACTGGGGAGGGACACAGGCCATGCTGCCTGCTGCGTTTTAGGTAGATCAGTCGTTTTTTGGAAGGTGTATAAGTAAGATAATTTGAGTTGGAAGGAACCTCTGAAGTTCCTCCAGTCCTAACTCCTGCTCAAAGCTGGGCCCTGAATAACCTGGTACCACACTATAGCTGGCCCAGCTTTAAAAGGACAATGCTGCAATCCAGGCAGATCCACTAAGTTTGTCAGAAATCCTGCTTTCAGAAAGGTCCAGTCATACCAGCTCTGGAATGGAGTGTGTTGCTCTTCGACAGGTGGGTGAAAACCTGGGGTTCCTTTCTGCTGGAAAATTTGTTCTTCCTTTAAGGATGAGTCTGTGTTTCTCGCCTGTGAGCTTGGGGTTAGTAGATTTATTTCCTTATCACTATGCATTGCAAAGTAATTTCTAACCTCTTTTTTCTGTATAGTAGGAGTCAGGATGACTTAAATGTTGGCAATTCATACTACACAGAACTGTTTTTCCTCTTAACCATGCTTATGAGCAAATTTTCGTTAGTCCGTACCACGTATGTTATGTGGGAATATTACTTGATTAATTATATTTGTCTAGTACATGACTCACCACCAGTGATGAATTCTAACATTGGATATATTCACACCCAACACCCTTACTCAGGGGTGGGGTTTTTTTCAGTTTCCCTCTTAACAGTGTGGACAAAACAGGGTCAATCAGCTTACCTAGGTTTCTCTTTTTGATTGAACTTTTCCCCTTCCTGTCCATTAATCAGGGTAACTGAATGGAAAAAAAAAAACCACCTACCCACATTCATTTTTTGAGCGTTTCGACCAGAGAGTTACTTTTAATCCTCAGCCCTTCTTTGCGTTCCTCACCAGAGACCCGTTTTTCCAAGTGTTGTCCTATTATCAGTCTCCTCTTAACGATGTCAGCCACAACCCATAAAAATAGATGAGAGGTAAAAACCGAATTTTGGCTATGTGTGTTTCCATGTAAAAGAAGGATCTCAGGAAAATACCCCAAACGTTTGTGAATGTCAAGCAACATCTAGAGTCTTGACAAAGATGTGCAGCAGTTCAGCAGCTTAAATTTGGGAAATCACTTTGCACGCAGGACGCAAGACTCTCACTAGATTATTAGATCTGTTGCTGCCTTCAGTTGTGTTTTTGTTCTGACTTCAGTGGTCTCTGGTGGTTTTCTCAAGGGAACTCTGTGTTGTCATCAAAATAAATGTCTTCACTAGACATAATCTCATCAGTATGATCCTGATTAATTTTCTTCACATGTACTTGTATTACTTGTGCACTGGCATCCTGCAGCTGCAGTATGGCACACGACTGGGGGAAAGATAAAAGGCTTAGAGAGAAACAGATCTGTCAGAAAAGGGGATTTTGTTTTGTTTTTAAAATGATTTTTTAATGAGAAAGGAAACACATTCAGCAAACTAATCAGTGGCTTTTCTTTTCTGTGAGCAAGGGAAACATGCCCACGCTGTGGCAGAAATCATCCTACTTTGGAGTAGGAAGTGCTGGTGGAAACTCCCCGTTTATGATAAAAAAAATGAAAAATCAATATTATTCCTGTAACAGTCCAAGGGGTTAAAGGCACAGAATTGCTTATTCTGTCGGTGGAATCCATGTTGTTCATAGAAATTGGGCCATAAATCGGGTGTTTGAGAATTACCTTTCCTGATCTTCAGACTTGCTGTCCGTTGAATTCCCAGAGAAAAATACAGTTTTGTTGTTCAAGTGTAGCTCCCTCCTTCCTATCAGCCCTTGTCCCAGGAGAACCAGGAAAGCCAGGAATTAACGCCCTGTCTTACAGACCAGACAGTGTAAATGCTCCCCAGTCTCTGAGGGTTTCTGTTACTGAACGTGGTATAAAACTGTGAGATCCTTGCTCAATAGGAGCTGGAATTTTTAGTCCATATGGCCATTGTACCAGTGAGATTTTATTTTAATATAATTTCATTCTTACAGGTGACACACTTCGTATGCTTCAAAATACTTAGAAGTATTTTCTCCAAAAATAGTGCTCATAATTTCAGCGTGTCGTTAACCATAAAACATAATACACTCTTTATTGGCTTCTCATAAAACTGAATATATTTTTTCTTGCCAAAACTAGCAAGGCCCTTTATATTAGTCCAAAGTATCTTTGGCGTTCCCTGCTTAGGCACACACTTAAATCTGTGGGCCAGATCTAATCTCTGTTAAATCAGTATAAATGAAGAATAACTCCATTGTTAATGGAATTTAACCTGTATCGTTGTTTTTGAAAGGGATTGGGTCTGATCACTGGTTTGTGTTTCCTAAATATCGGTATCAAACTGTCCGACCTGATGATTTTTATAGCTGTTTATTGCCAAGCAGACATCAGAGGACCAGAAAGAAAACAAACAAACAAACAAAAACAAATCAGAAAAACATTAAAACCCAAGCCAGAAGAACTGAACCTGTTTGGAAAGTTAATTATCAGTTATCTCCCTTTTGGTGTTTTTAGAATGTAAGACACTCTGCCGTGCTGTCATCCCTTGCTGGAGGGACGAAGGAGAAAGGGAGTGAGACTGATGCAGGAGCTGGTGCTTTTTCCGACAAGTCTTATTCTTAAGATGAGAGTCAGAAAGGATCAGGTCTGCTGGGAAGCCAGGAGTGGCTGTGTTTGCTAGCTTACCATTAGCATTTCATAAGAATTTCATCTTCTGCAGGTACTGTTGTTGGAGTTAATGAGAGCACTGCTTTCTCCTGGCCCACATGCGACAGATGTGGCAATGGAAAGTTGGAACTGTGTCCCCAGGACAGGTGAGAGTCAGCATGCTCCGGAGCACTCCAGGTGTGGTGCAGATGTAGCCGTAAGAGCAGCAGGTGATGCAATGGTTCCTGCGGGCACAGGCTGCCCTTTGTTCCTTCCTAGAACTAAGACATAGTGTTTTTATTGCTGATGAACTGATAAAACCTGCGAGGTTAGATTAATTTATTAAGAAAGATACAAGTAGATATGAAATGGTTTGAATTTGAAGTTATCTGCTTTAAAAGTAGCTTCTTGTGTTTGTCTGCCCTACCTTGTTACCCTGTGCACCACCAGGTCACCTCATTTTTGCACTGAACTGTGATCTTTGCTGCAATTTACGTAAGTTGGGAGAGCTATGTTTCAGACCTGTTGGTTTTATAACCTTTCTAAAAAGGATGTTGAATAATTCTGGGAGTACGACTATCCCAAATGTGAAGACTGATCCTGCAAGACCTGTTGCCACCTGAACTGCTAAACCTGCGTCACGCTGGCATGCTCTTGGAAAGCCTCCCCTGCGGCTGCTTCGCCAGCTTGCTCTCGCGGAGTCTGAGATACCTCGTGGGGCAAACGCACGAGAGGAGAAGAGAGGAGTCAGAGCATAAAAAGAAGGAAAGGGGGGTTCTTTCTGCTGGAAAAGCTTACAAAAAACATGAGGAGAAGTTGGGTGGCTTTGATCCCATTGAAATAGAGAACATTTCCCTAAATCCGTGAAGGTTTACCGCTTATGCTTTGTTGTGTATAGCCTCCAGGGGAAAAAGGCTGAAAATGAAAAAAAAGTTGTCCTATGTTATACTGTCATGCAAAAAATAAGGATGTGTGTACGTTCACATAGTAGTGTAGTTCAATTTAAAAAGAAATCTCTGCTGTGAAGGACACTTTTGCTTAATTTGGAGAACAATGTAGCCTCAATATTTGTTTAAGATGCTATTCCAACATGCAGTTATAGCTGAGCTTAATTCTATGCATATGACTAAAGTGTGTGCTGAAAATGTTGAACGTTTGCTGAACGAGGGCCTAAAGCAATAAGTCACTTGGGCCAAATCTGTACTACGAATTTTCTTTTGAAATAACTTTCAGAAGGTTGTAAGATGAATATTTCCATAAGTGTGGTGACTATATATAGCAACCTCACACCATATTGCCAAAACTTATGAAAGGAAGATACTTTTGCTAGAAGAGTTGAGGTCCTCCAGGAGAGTTACTTAGCTCTACCAACAGAAGAACTCTGTTTGCTCTTACCAGCTGAATCTCTACCAGTGCTTGCCTACTCAAAGTCTGCCAGCAAAGTATTTTAGAGAAGCAGCTGGCTGGTTTTTTGTGTGTTTTGACTGTGACTGATAGCTTTTCAATTTCTCCATGTTTTCCCATCATTATTTTTGTTTTTCAGAGGATTGCTATATTGCAGCCAGTGCTCTGAAGTTGTCACTTCACCGGTTTTGAAAATGCAGCTGGAAGTCTTCTTGAGTTGTCCGTCCCGATCTCAAAGTACAGTAAAAGTAAAGGTATGGCACAAAATGAGCTTTTATAAATGGCTTTATCAGAAGAAAAATTAAAACATGTAAGAGCATCCCATAATTTAATCTGATACTAAACTTGGGCTTCGTTGGATGAAGAACTCAGTTCCCAGATCTTACTCAAATAATACAGTCATTGAGTTCACCCTGAGGTCTGCAAACTGCTGTATGGTCCAGCTGCAGTGCTTTGTTGGGTTGGGCCTTGGGAAACCTCAGTCTCCACAGCCTAAAAGGAACGTGTATTTTTAGACTCCCATTCTGAACATCTTTTGTGTCACTTCTCTGCTCTCTTGGCCAGAGAAACAAAAACATTCTGTATCTTGGTCCGATGCCACTGTTTTAACCTGCGAACGGAATGTCTTTGTGTGCATGAGATATTTGTCATGAAGAAAACCTGTGAATTTTCTCATTCCAGCTGTTACAAAGGACAATCTCTTCTCTCCTGATGTCCTCCACCAATGAGGATGGGGTAGGTATAATGAATGCTGATGAAAGAAAGTTAAACTACGTAACTTTACTCCGTTTTCCGGCTGAGGATCCAAAGACAGCAAAGATACAGTCCAGGCATCCCCCTGTTTTCGGGATGGTTTTCTAAACCCTGTAAATGACGCCCACTGCCTAACAGCACAGCCATGAAGTCACTGGCAGGCGGGAACAGTAGAGAAATTTGCGGAACGCATGCCAGATAATACTTTATAATTGTGTGAATGAAACACACGTGAGCCACGGGGATCCACGGGCTAAAGTACAGTTTATGTAACCACGAAGTAGCTATTCCCTTAATCTGAGCTATCAGAGGAACCCTGACGTTTGGCACAGTGACCCAGATTTATCGCCGGTGCGGGAGGCACCGGGGGGCTGCCGGCGGCCAGCAGTGAAGGAGCGGCACCTTCAGAGGGCGATTTCGTCCGGTCGGGATCCCGAGATCCCCCCCTCTCCATTGCATGTGGAGGGGAGCAAAGGTCAGCTCGCTGTCTCTTTTAATCACCCCAGTTCAGTGTCCAGTTAGGGGACATGGGTCGGGGACATTTTGCTTTCCCTGTCTTGTAAGGTCTTCTAGCATTTTGCTGTTAATTACGTGCTCCATGGTTTTAATGGAATCTGTGGATAACTTTTGAAGTAGAGCATTTCTCTGAAATTGTAAATTATTATGCTGGAGGGTGTGTATTTCGTTTAAGCAAAGAGATAGAAGAAATTTCCAAAATGTGTTTGCTCTTTCAATAGCGGTTAAATCTTGCTAAGTTTTACAAGATGTGTCTGGTTTGGTTACAGACTGACAAAACTTGGTTGTTTTTTGAGTTACGAGGATTCAACCAACCTCTTTTTCCTGCTTCAGTCTTTATAATGCTAGTATGTAGAAGTCGGGGAACTTAGAAACAGGGTTTTTTTCCCTAGCTGAAATGCAGGGATCATTTTTTCCCTTTCTTATGAGCATTTCCATCTCTGAACCGACGCATTTTAAAAAGCAGCACATCTCCGCAAAGATTAATCATGAGAAATGCCACTTGAGGTGGCATTTTTGTGCCAGTGCTGCTGAAGTTTCTAAGGGTGTCACTTTGTAATCACTTCTTTGGGCAGGGAGGCTGGCTTTAGCCATCGCTGCCCCTGGCCACTTGTTCCATACCTTGTGACAGCCCTGCAGGGACACCAGCGTGGCTGTTTGGGC